AGCCCTCCCACCAGTCGAGTAGCTTCCCACAAGGCCCTGACTCATAGTTCGCAGCCGTCTTAAAACTTTAGGGAGTTGTGGTCACTGTTACCAACATGCTATCCCCGCAGACTGAAAGGTCAGCCCCTCACTGGCCGGGTTCATCACCCGGGTCCAGTGTGGCCCCCCCCCCCTTCCCCTGGTTGGACTGTTTCAAGAAACCGGCTTGGATGCACTCCGCCCCGTCCAACCCTCTTCCTGCAAAGGGATGCCCAGTCAATTTTGGAGAAGCCACGCCAACTCTGGTTTGTTTGCACCTTTCCACGATCTCCTCAAGTGGTTGTTCCTCAGTCTCTCGATGGCTGTTGCGGGGGGTGGGGTTTCCTGCGGTATAATCCTGCCAAGGTGATTGCGCCCACCTCAGTTTTGAGACACCCCCCCTCCCGCCATTGCCTCGGTGAACGAGCCCTCCCCTCCGGGCGCGGAGAGACCCTCCTCCCTTGACGGGCGATGCAAGTCCTCCACTTCTGCTTGCTCCCTCCCTCCCTGTCTCGCCTGAAACCGTGCAACCCCTGGTACATTGGGCAGCCTGTCCTGCCACCTCCCCCCGTCTGTGGGCCAAGCACCCCTCCGACTCCCCCAGTCAGGGGGCCGCAAAATCGTCGTCCCGTGAGTTGACCCGGGCTCGAAGCTCGTCTGCCTGACCTATGACACGCTTCGGCGTTCCTTCAGCTGTCTCCGTGCACACCCCCTCCGCCCTTCCACGTCCTTCCTTTCCGATTTCCCTGGCCCTAACCTTCCCACCCCCTCCCCCGCACCTCAATCCCTCCGCTCGCTGACCTCCTGCTCTGGTTCCCAGTCCCCTGCCGCTCTGGTTTGCAGAGTAGCACCCTGTGAGGAGGCTGGTTCCTGGCCCAGCAAACCCCCACCCCTGCTCCGTCCCTCTCGTACGCCCCATCCCCCATCCCTCTCGTACACCCTCCCCCCACCTCCCCGGAAGACATCGCGTTGCTCCAAGATACCGAAAGCCTGCCCCCACCCCCAGGTCCTTAACCGCGCGCTCCTCTGTCCCGTGTCGCTTATTCCTTCCCTTCACTAGTTCCGGGGGTGACTCAGAGATTACCGGCCTGGAGTTCCTGCTTCCCTAACTCCCTGTACTGACTCGGCAGGAGCTCGTTCCCTCTGCCTGCCCTCCAGGGAGGCGACACACACACACCGCCCTGGAGTCTCAGGCCAGCCGACAGAAACGCCTGTACGTGGCCCCCTGACTCATGATACTGCGATCCCGCTGTCGCTCGCTCGCATCTCGCTTCTACAGCCAGGAGCCACTTGTGGGTCTGCAGGCCTGGCTCGCTGCTGTTCTACTCGCCTGAGAGGCTATTCCTCCC